AAAAAATAAATAAAAAAAAAAAATTAAAATAAAAAAAAAAAAAAAAAAAAAAAAAAAAAAATATATTTTTTTTTAAAAAAAAAAAAAAAAAAAAAAAAAAAAAAAAAAAACTATTACTTAATTTAAAAAAAATTTTAACAAATTTTTTATTTTTTTATTTTTTATTATTATTAAGACTAATGTTAACAGTGACTAATGCTTTTATTTGTGTTTTTAGTTAATACATTATATATTACTTGTACAGGATGAGTATACAACTAGCTATATATATAACTTTTGATTACTTATTTAAATAGTCTGCCTGAGTGTTCTATACTAGCTGCTATATCTATAATCTACTATAAAACTATCTAATTAAATACTCTGGTTCCTATTGCACTCAAACAATTAGTTATATCAGTTTTTGTATATCTAAGTGCCATCTAATCTAACATTATGCCTTCTTTTTTGTACATCTGTTAAGTCATTACCCAATTTCAGAGCATGTTATTTGATTGTAAAGCTTAAGAAGCTCTTCTGTTAATTAATCTATATACTTTAGAACTATTAATAAGGCTTGTTTATACAAAATTCACTCAGACTCTAGCACTTACTTTATAGCATATCTCTAGTACTTTTAGTATACTTCTGTCTTTTTTTCAAACTCCTAATTCAGATAGCTTAATAGGATTATAACCAGTTCATTAGCATATTAGATCAGTCTGATATTCTTTTTCTTTAGTTCTCTTAGTTAAAATTTTAGTGGCCTGATTGGTAATACTCTTACTCAAAGGTTTTTGCCCATCTAAATACTCTATATTGGTATCTATTTTCTAGATTTAGCCTTTACAGTAGTACTATTAAAGATTTATGTTATCACTCTACTCAGGTCTTTTCAAATAAGCTTCTTGTTTTCTAATTTTTACAAATTTACATGCCTACAAGAACTTATCTTAAGTTTGTACTACCCAATACCAGTTTGCATTTTTCTGTATAATTAGTTACACTGATGCTCTATAATCTGCCAGTTATACTAATATGATCATAATTACAGGTATCTTAATCCAATTGCTAGGAACAGTTGTTATAATACAAGTATTACATAGATAATTATTTAAATTTTTACTATCAATAGGATTTGAACTTACAACCTACCAGTGTTGGCATTTGGACTATGTCCAATAAAAATTTTGATTGGACATAGACAAATATGGACATTGACTAGTCAATATAGTGTCCATGTTCAAATAAAATATTGACTATAAAAATGTTTGTGTAACAGTATTAACCAATAAAAATCATGCACATGATACTATTTGAAATAATGTATATACGTACGTACATACGTACATATGCACACACGCACAGATATTACTATGTAGCAATTATGTACAACCAAATTAAAATAGATCGCTGCAATGTTTTAAAATCGACTCTTCCAAACTTATTCAAATTATTAATGCAAGATGAAATTACTTAGAAATCTTTATAACATTAAGTGAGAAAATTTTAATATTAAAAGAATATATAATTTTTAGTTAGTATGTTTTAAAACTTAATTAAGTTTCACAAAAAATCAAATGTAACTTTTTTGAAAAAATTAATTTCAACAAAAAAAATGAGATTTATTCTTTTTTAGATTACTGACAAAAAAATCTAATCATAAGATGGTTTACTCTAGCATACATGGGAGTTTGGATTCATACACAATTTTGTTAATTGGATGTAGCAATCAGGTGTCTGGTATAAATTCGATCTTAATTTTTAAAGCATTATCTAATAAATAACTATTGAATAATGAAATTCAGTAGTATATAATAAAGCATTACTGTACAGTAGCACAGATTTTTCCAGATACAAGGAAGACTTTAACGTTAGCAAATTTAGAGAACAAATAATTTTGCAACGAAATTTCTTCATCATAACATTTACATGTGCAAAATTTTATTTTTGCACTAGTTTGTGTTATGGTACTATACTACATTATTGTTTGATCAATAATCATAATTAGAATTTTCAAACTTTTGCAATTTCAAAGCCTTTTATTATTATTAAATAAAAAATCTATGATAATCAAATAAAAATTTAAGACTTGTATCATTACAATATTATATACAATTATAATTGTTCTGGGTGCAAAATAAAAAATCCACAGTAATCAAATAAAAAACTTGTGCAGAACTAGAAAATAAAAGATTCTATTTTAGTAACTTTCATACATGCGAGAGTTTTATGCTTGTTCATACAAAATAGTATAAATAAAAAAGTTCAGTTTTGAAGACAATATTTAAATAAAAGTTAAAATTTACTCTCAATTTTTTTTACTACCCTGTTGTGCAAATATGGGTAAACCACCACATTATCTATCAGAATTCATAATTATGCTTGAAGAAAAAGCAAATAAAAGTAATAAATATTGTGTTTGTAAAGAATGTATATCAGGTTCTTTATATGCAGAGGCAGAAAAAAATAAATTTGCAAATACACAAGAACTTGTTCGTCGTCACCTAAAAAATTGTATTTATTTTAAGCAAAAATACAATGAATCAGAGTAAGCAGAAATTTTGAGCAAATCCGTTTCAGTAGCTAATAACTGTAAGTATATTAATTAGTATAGTTCTAATAAGGTTTATATATATAATTATTAATTTGTTTTTGGTTTAGCTGAACAAGAAAATTCTGATAATAATTCTGAGGCTTCTTCATCAAAAAACTTATCTGAGGCTTCTTCATCAAAAAACTCAACAGCTAGTATTAGGAAAAATATATTTGATCATTATTGTTTCTGGCCCCTAAATGAAGAACAACAAAAACATTTTGAACAACTTATACTTAAAGCAACTGTATCATGCAGTTGGGCTTTTTCATGGGTAAAAAATCCAGAAATAAAGATGCTTTTTGAATTTGTTCATCCTTTAATTAAATTGCTATTATGAAAAAATCTTAGTGGTCAAATTTTATCTGAATCTATACAAAAAATAACCAAATCAATTAAAGAAATAGCACAAAATGATAAAGATAGGGTTATATTAGCGTATGATGACTGGAAAAATATTAAAAGGAATCGATTTTTGAAAGTATTTTAGTTACCTCTATGGGCAGAGTTCTTGTTTGGAATGCAGAGGATATATCAAATGAACATACAAAATGGTTTGATGTGCAGCGTCGAACTGAAAATATGCTTAGTAATCTAAAAAAAAAAAAAATTAAAGTTAATGCTGTTGTAACAGATTGTGCATCTGAATATAAAGCAGCTAGGTAATATAATATATATATATATATATATTAAGTTTTTAATTAATATATTTATATACTTATTAAATTTAGAAAACATTTACAATGATTATATCCTGAGATTGTATTTATTCCATGCTTCACACATCAGATGAACTTGTGCATTGGAGATATTTTTAAGAACTCAAATTTATTTTCAGTTGTTGCTAAAGAAGCTATTTATTTGGTGTCTTTTTTTCATCAATCAACTTTTTTTTGGGGGTGCCTTCGTTCTGAGCAAGTGGCTATATATAAGTCATACATTTCTTTTGTATCACTGAATTCTACTCGATAGAATAGTTACTACTTATGTTTTGCAAGTATTATTAAATCTTGTGCTGCTCTTAAAAATTTAGCCACAAAAATTGAAGAAGGAAATAATAATAGTCTTAAAGATTTTTCCAAAAGTATTCTTTCAAATATTTCAAATAGTGAATAGTAGAAAAATCTTATGCAATTAAAGGTTCTTCTTGAACTATATATGGCATCCTTAAATAAACTTCAACATGATAAAGGTCATCTTACTGAAGTTCTACATAGTTTCAGATAGGTGTATTAAGTAATTAAAGGTATTTCAGATAAAGCACTTAAAGATTATTTAATAACAAAATTAGAAAAGTGATAGTCTGCTTGGGAGCAGCTATTGTTGCTTTTATCTTTTTTATTACATCCAGATTACCGTATTAAACATTTTAATTAATGCAATGATGATTTGTCTTTTACAAATCTGGGATGATAAGTTGTACATTATTATAAATCTTGGGTTGGTAAACCCCTATGTTCTATTTTACGTGAATTACAATTATATAAAAACGAAGAATATCTGTTTGATAGAAAAACTTTTATTCAATTCGATAATATTTTACAATATTGGAAGTTTTGTAAAGGGGTTGCTATAAAATTACATCTTGTAGCAACCCATATTTTCTCAATTTGTATAACTACAGCATCAGTAGAATGATTATTCTCAGCTATAGGATAGTATCACTCATTGTGACATAATCAACTTTAGGCAAACATACTTTACTATTCTTTTATTTTTATTATTTTATTATTTTTTATTATTTTTTTATTAATTAAATATCAATATATGTTTGTCTATTTTATAATATAATAGCATAAAAAAGTTCTCACTATGTGCCAACTAAGATCGGAGCTTTTATATTCACGAAATATTCTTGTCATTGACAAGTCACTAAAAACATACAAACAAAAGATTAGTATTTCACCTAAAAATAATAAACAAATAAGCCTTAATGATAATGAAGAGGAATTATATACATCAGAGGATGACGATAATATTAATATGAGGCAAAGTCAAATAAATGTTAAACAGACAGAAATAGTTCGATGTGTGAATGACTGGAAAGTAATTGTAGAACAGTGGGTTAACCTGGCCGAAGAGAATGATGGTGATTATATGCAATATGATTCATTTAGCTTAAATAAGTCAGAAGGTTTGACTAATTTGTATAATAATGATCCAATATTTCAAGATGATATTCATCCTAATATTCATCCTGCAGATAATTTGGTGGCCAAATAGAAATTGGCAAATATTTTTGCTGATTCATTAACTCAAGCTGCTTATATTAATCTGCTTTTGGAGGGTCAAAAGTGTAATTAGCACTCATAAAAAGAATTATAAAAAAAATTGTACTGTTTTTAACTGTAATAAATCAGTTTAGAAAACACATATCTAAATCTACATATTTTTGCTTCAATATTATTGACTATTTTGCAATCAGTACTATTTGGAGCCTGTTTATTTTTTGCTTTGTGTAACAAAACACATTTATTCGGTAATAAAGTTTTTTTAAAAACATTCTTATATTGAGGAATTGAATTAACCCAGATCTCAGTATTGTTATAACAAAATGCAGATGTTCAAGAGAAATATACTTCAGTGAGATATCATATGATTTGCATAAAGTATAAGACATAAGAAATTTATATTATAGGTTTGATATGAGTACCACAAAGAGAAAACCTGTAATTTTTATTAGATGAAGAATTATAGGCTTTCTCTTGTCGACTCAAAAAAAAAAATTAGAATCGTATTTTGGTATAAAGTTGTACAATTAGTAGATCACTATATACATAATCGCTATTTCACAAGAGATTCGTACATGCATACAGTATAAGATCATATTAATTTGCACATTTTATGCAAAGTATGTTTTTAATTTTAAATAAATGTATAGTCTATTAGAACTAAAATAATATACTCCAAGCAATGTATATAAGATCAGAAAATTTAAAAAAAAAGAAACTTAATGTAATCTTAATTCTTTTTGGTACTATCATTATATATACCATTATATGTTGATTACTTTAGCCAATTGAATTCTAAAAAATTGTGTTACACAAGTCACATTTTAAATTTAGACTGAGTGACTATGTCTATTTAAAAAATATGAACAATATGGACATAGTCCATATTTGTCCATGTCCATTGGTTCATATTGTTCATGTCCATATTTGGCCAACACTGGTTCTATTAGTACTTTCTTCTTTTTTTTCTTAATTACTTTCTCTAATTGCCTGTTATCTTTTGTGTTATATAAAATCTATTCTTTCTTCTTTCTATCCTTTGAAAGACTTTTCTACTTAATCTTCATTGCTTGTATATTATGTTCATCTGTTCTAAAGTATTCCTTAATCTCTCTGTTCTTTAGTTTATTAAGCACTTTTCTTTTATTTTTTTGAACCATTTTGCTTTTTTACCTTTGCTCAATAGTTTTTGATAGTTTTTAAATTGCTGTCATGTAATTAGTTTTTTATCCTTTGCATCAAGTAGTTGGTTTAGATATATTAGACCTATTTCACTTTTTTTAGTTCTACTTTTTTTCTACAGTTATGTTTCTAGTAGTTTAACTATTTTGTAATCATAGCTACTCATTGTCTATAACTTATTTTCTGTATTTATATTTATTCTTAGTTCTTTTGCCTTTACTATTGTCAAACAGACTAAATTTTTCTTTCAATATATTCTATCTTTTGACAGCTTCTCTAATTTCATATATCTTCTGTTAATCCTGCTCTTTAGCAACCTTGTGTTATTCTTAATTTTGTTAGCTGTTTTAAACCATCTCTTCTGTTAAGTTTTGCTAAAAGCCCTTCAACTTGGTTTATAATTAATTTCTATTACAGTATTCTGCAACTGCCCAAATCTTTATATTCTTTTATGAAATTCTCTAATGTTCTTAATAAGTTACTTTTTTGTTTTGCCAAACATATCATTGGCTAGTATACTTTGTTTATCTCTTTCTTTGATATTTTTGTTAACTGCAACATATAGCTTAACTTTGATATTATTACTATATTGTTTATATATACTATCTGGCTTATTGTTATTTTTTTATACTTAAGATTTTTTATTATTTAGCTTATTATTTCTTTTGCTTTTTTCTTAACTAAAACTTTATATATTCTGTTGTTTAGCCAGATTCCCAAGAAGCAAACTATCTTGTTTTTTAGTTTTTCTATTATTTTATTTTTTTCAAATATTATCTCTTTTTTCTTTTTTTTAACTTTCTTATTTATTATTATTAGCTTTGACTTAACTTTATTTATTACTATGTCATTTGTTTTAAAGAATTCTTTTGTTACTTTCAATATTTCTAATAGCTGTTTTTTGCTGTTTGTAATCCATATCATGTTATTGCCACTTGATAGTAGCTTGTAATATTATTGCAATGTATTTCTTCTTTGATCTTTTGCTCTACTATATAGTCTAATCTTTTATTCTTTTGTATATTTTCTAGTAATAGGTCATAGAAGAGACACCATATTAGTAGTAATATTACTTTACTTTAATCTATTCCATCTTCTGCTATTATTTTTTTTGTTAGGCCATAGGTTGTGATTATTTTAAGCTGTCTCTTATAAAACAAATTCAAAATATACTTGATTGCTTCTTAGATATCTTGACTCTTTGCAAAGCTCATTTAAGACTTTTGAGTAAGACAGAATTAAAAGTCTTTTTTATATCTTGCAAAAGTATTTATAATTCTTTGTTTTTTTTTTGTCTTTTCTAATATCATATTTAGAACATGTACTGGCTTTTCTGTTGAGTTTTCTGAAAGGCCATCATAGTTTGGTTCCTTAAGTATTTCTTTTTTAACAAAAATTTTACTAAGCTTTTTTGTTAATATCTTTATTACAATCTTTCTAAATGTCTTAATTAAGGCTATTAGATGAATGTTATTTAAGCTATATTTTTATTTTACATCTTTTAGTATTAGATACACTTGTGTTATCTTTTATTTTATTAGTATTTCTTCTGTTTTAATTATAAATCTGCATAAGCTCTAAACATCTTTTGTGCTTTCTTTTCTGTTCTTTTAATCAGGATATAACTTATTTCTAATATTCTAGAAGCTGTTCCTATTTTGAGCTTTCTAATTATTTTATTCTATTTCTCCTTCTTAATTTTCTTTTAATTTTATTATATCATTCTTCTTTAATATAGTCCTGAGGTTTATAGATTTTTTTTTAACTTTCTAATATCTCTTCTAACTTAATATTTCTTTCTCTAAATTGTTTTTTATAATGTTCTGCTGTGACTTCTTTGACTAGCTTTGATTCTGTTACTAGTTTCAACACTTTTTCTGCTTGTTTAATTAATCTATTGAGTATTACTTTTTGTATAGTCTGTTCAAAAGGCTGGCTATCATTCTTTTTTTTTTTTTTTTTTTTTTTGCTTAGCTAAGGCCTTTTAGTTATGGTGGCTACTGCCTTTATTGTGAATTCAATTATGATTACATAACTTGTACACGGTTACCCCTATACTACACTAGCAGATAGCAGCACAAGCTCCCGTACACCTAATTAGATGCCGTCTAACCTAACCTTAACCTTCTGTCTGTACGTTTGTCAGGCTGTTACACATTTCAGAGTACGTCACCTGACTATAGGGCTCCAGGGGGCCTCCCTGCTAACTAACTACCTACATTTAATCTTTGCTAACAGGGCTTTGCCTTTGCAGAGTTCATCCAGACCCCAGCACTGACTTCACAGCATATCCCTAGTACTTTAATATACCCCTGTTTCTGACTTCAAACTTCCAATCCAGATAGTCTGGTAGGACTGTGACCTGTTCCTGGTACCCCAGGGTCTGCCCCCCAAGGTCCGTTTCCTCCGATTTGAGTCTTCCAGCAGCCTGGTTGGTAGTACCTCTCACCGAGGTTCTTGCCCATCTGATTTTTTCCACATTGGTATCTGTTTCCTAGGTCTAGTCTTTACAGTAGTACTGTCGAAGATCCATGTTACCTCTCTACTCGGGTCTTCCCAAGTGGGCTTCAGTTATCCCAGTTCACGGATTTACATGACCACAGATGCCCCATGACCTGCCAGTTATCTGGTATGACCATGTTACAGGTACTGATCCCAACTGATCGATAGATAGCCGTTGCCGTATTACCAGTTTCAAGGACTTATTTTGTGTTTGCACTGCCCAATGCTGGTTTGCATTCCTCTATATAACTCCAACATTGCACAGATGCTCGTATACACCAATGTAACATAGGTGGTTTTCCAAATTTTCGCCGTCAGTGGGTTTTGAACTCTCAACCTACCACTTGGGGGGTTGACAACTTATCCACTTCACTAAGTCGCCACACCCTTGGCTATCATTCTTCCTTAGTATCAGTTTTAATTATTTTATATCTTTTGTTTATGTTTTCTTTTGTTTGTCTTCTTTGTTCTTGCTCTTATTCTTTCTTTTTTTTTTTCTGAAAAATTCTTTGCCAACCCTTTATGTTCTCTATTCATGCATCAAACTACTATCTTTGGATTTTTAGTAACTTTATATCTACTTTTTTGCTTAGTATCTTAAAGTTTTCCATTTACTTTATTTTTTTCTATTACTGTAACTTTTTGTTCTCTTTTTGTTTTTGCATATTTGACTAATCTTTGAAGCTCTACAATGGTTTTTTTTCATTATTAGTTTTCTTGGCTATGGCTTCTGTTTGTTGCCATGTTATAAGTTCTTTTCTTTGATATATACTTGTTTGCTGCTGTTATAATTGCCCCTTTTATTACATTTTATATATCATTTATCTTTTGTGTTTTTTTTTTGTTTTTTTTTTTTTTTGAATATGTTTTAATACTTCTTTGATTTCTAATCATTTTTGTAATTCTTGCATATAGTTTTCTTATTCTTCATCTTTCATAATATTATAAAGATATATTGTTCTTGATTAATTCTTTCTTTTGACATCTGCCTTGTTGCTTTTTGCTATTATATGTTTAACACATATTTCTGCTATTACTATTTTGTAATTGTTTTTGATAATTTCCTTTATATCTTCAATTTTTGTTCTTTGTAAATCTGATGCTAGCTCTTCTGATATCTATATATAGTCAATTCTTGTTGCTGTTTCTATATTTGATCATGTATATTTTTGTTTTATTGAATGCATTTTTCTGTATATATTATAGAAGTTTTGTTGTCTTATCCAATTAAATATTAGCAGTTTCTTGAAACTTGTGGTTTGTAAATTCTGCCTATCTAGTATATTGTCTACAGTATAGTTAAAGTTA